TAGATAGATAGATAGATAGATAGATAGATAGATAGATAGATAGATAGATAGATAGATAGATAGATAGATAGATAGATAGATAGATAGATAGATAGTATATCTACACATTGAATATGAAGAATTCAATATGAAGAATATAAAGGTCTCGTGAAATATAAATGTTGTGCCTGAATATTAATATATTTCTATATTTAGAATGAGCTCAAAAATGAGTACAGGATTTTGTACAGCTTTTAAAATGACTTCAGTCACTGTGGCCTTCGAGCACAATAATAAACAGCAGAATCTTCAGTCTTCAGGCTGTTCATCTCTAGATACACCTGCTGTTTCTCATTGTCTCTGGAGATCGTAAACCGACCTTGGACTGACTGAGAGTAGGATTTAGTGCTACCAGTTGGTTTAGTTAAATGAGCAATCCACTCCAGTGCTTTTCCAGGAGCCTGTCTCACCCAGACCATCGCATAGTCGCTGAATATGAATCCAGAGGCTGTACATGTCAGTCTGTGAGATTCTCCAGGCCTTTTAATTACTGGTTCAGATTCTGTCAATGTCTGTCCATCAACACCTACAAACAAGACAACAGAATGTGAAATATGTCGATAACACAAAGAAAACTTTATTAAAGTAAGATCAAACTCTTCACCTGCCCAGCAGAGAGTTAAAAACAGCAGCCCTGTCATGCAGTCCATCATGTCAAACTGTGTGCACACTGCTCCAAGCAGTCAAATAAGTAGAGGTGAGATCAGAAAGTTTTACACTGACTCCTCCTACCCCAAAGAAAAGCAGTCTACATGTGTACTGGAATTATTCATGATGTGAGAACCTATTATTTTATTTACATAGTAACAACATGAGGGCCAGGAACAAAAAACAAAATGAGTGTGCAGTAGTAATCGCCATTGCCTATGTCACCTCACACATCAAAAGCTGTGGGTGTTTATCTGTGCTTGAATGGTTTCTCCCTGGGTGTCATTAAGTGAAATCTGGAGCCATTAATTTGAAAAATCCCATCAGCCACTTGAATTTTGAATTTTTTCAAATTATTTCCATCTTACCAAAGAATTTTGACCAGAGGATAATTTTTTGAGGTTTTCCAAACATGGTTAAAGACTTTAACAATAAGTAAGTCAAATTCCTGATCAGCCTGAAATTGCTCCAGCAGCTTGAAAGAATATATTTCTATATTTAAGCAGAATTTAGTCAACTATACTATGTGTTCATACATAATTGACATTCACCACTTTTAGTTTATTGCAAGTGCTTTTTCTGTGGAGATTTTTTAAACACTTTTGACAATAGAGAACACCATTAGCGATGGCATGCCTGCTTCATGTAAACTCCAAAACCAAATTGTTGGAAATGAAAAAACAAAAGCTGCATCATGACACTCTGAGGGTGCAACATCTGCATGCTTTGGAACAGATTTTTTTCAAATGCTTTCATCCATCCGTTATTATATAATAATAATAACATAATTATAATAATCTGACAAACCAGAGTTTGTCACCTAATTACAGGTGAAAGTAAATGACTAAAACAAATCACTTATATTCTAACATTTAGTTAAATATCTGCATTTAGGATGGAAAAAACCCTTTTTTCAACAAATGAATGAGTTATGAAACCATATGTGACTATCACCACTATAATAATGTATCTTTTTTGTATTATTTCCACATCAACAGTTATTTTACAGTAAACAAGAAGACCTTACAATTGGACTGATGTGCTCTTCAAATTATTAGTGGTCTGAGGGCTCCTCCTCTGGTGTATTTATGTTACAAAGGCATTCAGAGCTTTTTGTTTAGCTCCTGTTGATGGTATCACGCAGTGGGCAAACAGAGCATAGACTGAACCAGGGAGGAGTCAGCTCAAACTGCTTTTCAGTAATTGTGCAGGTCTCTGGGTGGGTTGTGTCACTGTGGGCTACGCACACAATAATAAACTGCTGTGTCCTCAGGCTGCAAATTTACTCCTGTTAGTGTTACAGATGAAGTAGAACTGTATGTGTGGTGGAGTAACTTGTTCTTCAAAGCATTGTTTTGAGCCATGTCACCGTTACCCCACCGATGCACAATCCACTCCAGAGTTTTTCCTTCACTCTGTCTGATCCAACCTGTTGCATAGTTGCGATCAGTCAAAGAATAACCAGAGACCTGACAGGTGATAGTTACAGACTGTCCAGGCTGCGCAACTATTGAGTCTGACTGGATGAGATCAATACTGTACACACCTGTAGAAAAAGAAATAAACATTATTTCCATTATTTATCTGAATATTCTGCATTTCACTTGCATTTATTAATAATCTCCTCACAGGATCCAACTACCAGCAGCAACATCAGAGTCACAGACAGCATGGCTGATGTTAAAGAAACTGATGTGAGCTCTCCTGTTCTCTCACTGACGCACGGACGCACTTCACTTTCTTATAAGGTGAGAAACAGGATGGATGATTTGAATATGACTTACATTCAGTCAGGAAACTACTTTTCATCAGATCATAGTCCTCTAGCATTCTTCATCTCACAAGAAGAGATTACAGTGTTCTGTGTTCAGACCAATACTATTTACATTATATACTTTACCCTTCCCCTTCTCTTTGGCAATACTGCACACTATTGTTATTCATTGTTATGCAGATTCCTCCCAGATCCATTTATCCATCAAGCTAGATAATGCAAAACAACTAGTTAAACTGAAGACATAATGTCCTGGATGGTCACTACTAAACTACTTCTAAAATCAGTCAATACCAAATTCATTGGACAAATCTGCAAATCTTACTCTGTGTCTATCCAGATGTTTCCTACAGCCAGCATTACCTCCAGTAATACTGTGAGGAATGTCTTGCAGTGCACAAATTATATATATATATATATATATATGACTGTATTCATGTATTTATACTATACAATTAAAATGAGAAACATGCTGCCTCAGCGTGATGATGAAAAGCCATGCATGTATTAAGGGTGGAGTATTACAATTCTTAATTGTCAGATAACTCTAAAATCTCCCTAACATCTAAAATACTGCACAGAGAGTACTATTAGGCACTGGAAAGACAAACCAAACCACATTTGTCCCAAATCATCTTTTCCAGATTGGCTTCCTTTCTGAGCCTGGGTCTATTGGAGGTTTCTGCCTGTTACACAGAGCTTTTCCTTCCCACTGTTGCTAAGTGCTTTCTCATAGGGGGTCACATGATTGTTGGTGTTTCTTTCTGATATTGTGGGTTCCTTATTTTTTGCCAAGTTGGTACAAAATACAGTTTTCCAAATTTATGCTTGATACAGTACTTGCAAAGATTGCATTGCTGTCTTAAAATAATGCATGGTCTTAGAGCTCCTCCTTTGGTGGCTTCAAGTTACAAGTGCAGGCTCTGATGGTTATTTTAAATGTGAGCTGTTTAGTCACAATCCCAGACTATTCGACTGCAACCAATATAATAGCATAGCATGATCCCCACATTCTGCCTCTTGCCAAGTATAATTTTGTATGTGGA